CATACAATCAACACAACATCCCTTTTCAGCTACAGAGTTCTGGAAGCGTTCGGACATAAAACTCGTACCTATTTGAATTACAAATATCAGCTCTGTCAGTAAATTCCCTATTTTATTTTGTTGTTGAAAACCGGAATACTTTGCTTTTCCTTTCAGTACCGAACCGTGTATATATTTTTAGGCTAACTTGTTTGCTCAATCGCATGTGCGTTTGGTAAATGGTATCTAAACTGTGATATTCAGCTACCTTTGCTTCGAAGATTGTTATTATTGATTTTGTTTGGTTATTTGATGATCGGGCTGTGATATGTCGTTATTTTATTTCAAACTAGCTGACCCGGTAGACTTCGTAGTGCCTCAATCGGTAAATAAAAGACCTAATCTTTTGTATAAAATAAATTTAAAACAAACAAAAGGAATCCGTCCGACGGGGGAGACATCAAAGGAAAAACAAAATTGTTATTTTTATTTAATTTGGAGCATTTTCATATTTATCTACCTTATAAACCTTCTCTGGACTTCCACAAATAATTCAAGACCAAAATTAGCTAAATCGGTCCAGCCGTTCTCGAGTTTTAGTGAGACTAACGAACAGAAATTCATTTTTATATATATTTCAAATTAAGACTTCGTGTTCCAAATACAGGTATCGACCATTCGCGTAACAACTTACGATTGGATGCGCCGTGAGCTTAGCATCTTAGCTAATTAACCGCTTGAATCTAATTGGAGATGATGGTTGCTTGAAAATGTGCAACAATACGAACCGTTGAGATCCTCTTGGCTGAGCCTTTGCTCGCCCACCTGTCCTGGTGAAACTGGAAAGGCCTTCGGGCCACCAGTAAACTATCAATCATAAAAAAAAAAAAAAACTGTTGAGAGTGGTGAATTTTATGCTAAAAGAAAAAATGTACCTTTAATTAAAAGTGCGACGCCAAAGTTCTGTAAAGTTTTTGATGATAGTAGCCTGCTTATGGAGGTAGAGAGAGAGAGAGAAAAAATTTACATTGAGAAACAGCCAACAGTATAATTGTACAAAGCGGTCTCAAATCTAAGAGCGATCTCTTCCAGACAATTGTTTTTATTTAAATAAATTCTGAAAAAGATACAGCAAATATGAACTAAGTTGATAGAACAATGTATGTATATATTTTTTTCAATTTAATTTCCAAAATTTTATTAATCTAATAAAAATCAAACAAAATTAAGGCCACTTTTCAAGGTGACGCATTTACGTTGTAGATATCTATGGGCTCCAAAAACCACTTAACACCACGTGGGCTGTGAGTTCGTCCACCCATCTATGCAATAAAAAAAACTTCTGGCGCAGCATTTAATTTATTTTGCGCGTTTTATCATATTGAATAGCGTCAAAAAAAAAACATTTTTGTATTGTGGGTAAAAAAAAATTACGATTTCAGTTCATTCAGAGTGCACAGACCAAAAGAAACCATTAAATTTTAATTGAAAATTCACGAGAGCTAGATTATAAATTACAGCTTAATGCAAAATGTCCAAAGAAACTTAGAGAAATATGTATCCATTATGATAAATGTTCAAAACATGATCAGCAATAATTCAGAGGGTTAATGCTCTTTAAGCAGATTGCTTCAAACAAAAGATACGTCTTGTATTCATTCCATCAATATTTCATACAATGTTCTATAGTTATTATTTTAATTTTATTGGCAAATACTACTTGAGACCATTCAATACAAAGCATATAAGATATAAGTATATTAAAAAGAAACGCCATTACCGCCTAAACTTCTTATTGGTCGGGCGCCCTGGTTTTGTAAGAGTGGTCGTTATTGCGCTGATGATGACCAGACCCAGAGGCATTCTTTAGGTCCTGAATATTTTCGAAGATTATCCTTGGGGCAATGCGTCTAGCGACTCGAAGCGTCTCGAGTACATTGGATCTGATCATGTGACTGAATTTCAATTTGAGTTAACTTTTACGCTATCGAAAACGTTAAAAAACTCGCACTAAGCACACGGCTCATGATATGTAGAATAGAAACAGAAATAAATCGAAGAAGAATCTGTTGTCTAACTAAACAGTCTTTTTAATAGTGTTTAGTATCTTAATTCCACGGTGTTCCCAGAGGATTATCACATCTCCTTGAAACAAGATTTGAAATGAGCTCTCAACAGTAATCAGTGACTTATGCCCCTACCTGTGTATCGAAAGACTTAACCTCGTCTAGCTATTAAAGCAGTAAATATTAATTAAATAACTACTATCCTTAGGAACATTATTGAAACGATTATCCATTTGCGCACCGGAATAAAAAATGTTCTCTATCGCAAAGGTGAATTCCGCGAATCTCAAAGCGCAAAGTGAATACGCACGTTAATCTCCAGCTTTAATCCTTCAACATATTCCGACGTTTTCATTTCGTACTCCATTACAAGCTGCAGATGATTATGTATTTTCGGAAATGAAAATAAACTGTTATTTGTAGGAAAGAAAATTTCTTCTTCTTCTTCGTCACTTTCTTCATTGCTGAAGGTCGTGTCCCTGAAACTTGACCGTGGCCTGTCTCGTCAGCTGTTTCTATCTCGTCCGGTCCTCAGCTTCTCGAATGGCGGTTGCGACTGGCAACCCAGTTAAGGCGGTTATTTGATCATACCAACGGCTAAGTAATCGGCCGCGGACCCTCTGAGAAGATCCGGCGAGAAACTCCGTGGGCTATACTGTATATCTTTATTTGGTATTAGTATCAACAGTTCGATGTTTTTAATTGAACTTCAAGTTAACTTCAAGTTAGCCCATTCAAATAGTCGAAGAAGTTTTCTTTTATGATCTATTTTTTTAATTTTACTTTAAATGGCTCCCTTGTAAAATTGCATAAATGTCGCTAAGTTTAGCCCATTCAAATAGCCGAAGAAGTTTTTTTTGTTATCATATTTTTTTTAAATTTTACTTTAAATGGCTCCCTTGTAAAATTGCATAAATGTCGCTAAGTTTAGCCCATTCAAATAGCCGAAGAAGTTTTTTTGTTATGATATTTTTTTTTAATTTTACTTTAAATTACTCCCTTGTAAAATTGCATAAATGTCGCTAAGTTTAGCCCATTCAAATAGCCGAAGAAGTTTTTTTTATTATGATATTTTTTCATATTTTACATGACTCCCCACCCCCTTTCAGGGCCCCCCAGTTAAGTCAAATAGCCTTTTCCCCCTTGATACCTATGTATTTCAGACAGTTTCTTTTATATGTCAAATATTTTTTTAATGTCATTAATCGAGCGTGTGGAGATGAAAAGTGTATTCCATTTACATAAAATTTCTCATCACGCATGGTAAACGATGGATGTATAATAATCTAAAGATCTGACTTTCGAATTTCGTTTTGTTTAAATAGGATCGTGGGGTAAAGTGATTTATTTTCACGGCGTAACGTATCCTAAGCCAATAAACGCGGTAGGTCGATTTTCAATAAGCTTTTAGTACTGAATGTTAACGATTTTTTTTCAATTTCTATTCGCTTGATTTTTTTGTAATTGCTTAGATGGGTGGACGAGGTCACGGTCCACCCGGTGTTAAGTGGTTACCGGAGCCCATTGACATCAACAAAACGTATTGTTTAGTAGTTTAGGCGCTAGTACCTTACGGTGCGGGCTCCCCAATCACCAGTAAAGCCATCAGTATCCAAATTATTTTCATTCATTTTTACTCATATGAGGCTTTGTAGTAAATGAATTGAGAAATTTTAAGTGGACCAGTAAAAATTGAAACCCGATATCGAAACAAAATATTGTGGAACTATAAATTTAAATGAAGCTAAGTTTTGTTTTTGAAACCACCGCTAATGATTGTCAATTACAGCTTTTAAGTTTATTGAGCGTAGTTGATTGAAACTCAGTGAACAATTATGAAGTTGAATTATTATTTAAAACGATTGTTCATCAGATATTTAGCTAATAAATAATAACATTATATTTTTCAGAAAATAAATTTTGATATTAAAAGCACTAAAATCATACCAACAGTTCAACATTCATTAGATACACAAGAAAAACAAACAAACGGACAAGATAATTTATATACGGTTAATGATATTGAGATGAACGTTTTTGGCTATAATTACCAATGCTGATTACGATAAACACGCTATCGGTATATTTAACGAAGACATTTTCAGCAGGATTACGTTGAAATACCTACATAGCTTTTTTTTATTTTCAATTGAACTCTTATGAGTCCGCGCGGGTAGGTACCACCGCCCCGCCTATTTCTGCCGTGAAGCAGTAATGCGTTTCGGTTCGAAGGGTGGGGGTAGCCGTTGTAACTATACTGAGACCTTAGAACTTATATCTCGAGGTGTGTGGCGCATTTGCGTTGTAGATGTCTATGGGCTCCAGTAACCACTTAACACCAGGTGGGTTGTGAGCTCGTCCATTCATCAAAGCAATTAAAAAAAAAATTTTAAAAAATCCAAAGGTCGCTTCATAAATTTACTGCAAATATATTTGCTTCAGTATTTGCTTCAGTATTCACGAGTCTTAGATGTAATTAAAACTACTTTTACGTTTAACCACCGAGTATTTTATTTAAAAAAAATATAGTTATATAAAACGCAAGATAAAACCGTAAAATTTGTTTTAATTACATAACTATAATATATTGAGAGGAAGAGACAGTCCATTTTTATGTCCGCCATTATACATTAGGCGCAAAGCCTATGATGAAACATTTTTCTAAGTCCGAACTTAGACTTAAAAAAAGCTCTCAACACATACATAATTCGATTCGATTAAATACCTATTAACGCGTATTATTTAAATCGGTAGCTTTCTAGCAAACAACGTACATATTAGGTATACATATACCTATCTTCGAAGCTCAGTCATTATTTTTCGAGGCAACAGCATATACAAATTTCGGGCTTAATCAAAGCTTAATTTCGCAAATTAACCCTTAACTCTCGACTAACGACAGCTAGAGTCGATTTCAATATGTTCAAGATACAAAGAGATTGGTCGTTTTTGCAGATTGAAAAGCAAAACGAAGCTGGACGCAGATGAAAACTGCCGCCCTAAAAGAGACGAGATCGGTAAGTAGATTGATTTTTTTATTTAAACTTCAAAACAATTGAGGGAGGCAGCGCAAAAGTGGCCTAACTCACAATTTTTCATAATCATGCTTATATATGTATATTTCAATTTATTTAAAATGTAATCAATTTTGATGCAAAACCGGCCTATCGATAGTTTCACCCATGGATAGCAGATGGCTTTGTAAACAGTATTTTTGCGGGTATTGTTTTTTTTAAATTCAAATTCATGAAAACTTAAACCTCATTGCTCCATAATAACTATGGTAAGCTAAGGCCACTTTTGCGCTGACCGCCTCAATTATGCTCGCGAATCAATAAGTGAAAACGCCGGTTGTGATATCAGTACTTTATTTATTTATTGCTTAGATGGGTGGACGAGCTCACAGCCCACCTGGTGTTAAGTGGCTACTGGAGCCCATAGACATCTACAACGTAAATGCGCCACCAAACTTGAGATATAAGTTCTAAGGTCTCAGTATAGTTTAAACGGCTGCCCCACCCTTCAAGCCGGAACGCATTACTGCTTCACGGCAGAAACAGGCAGGGGTGGTGGTACTTACCCATGCGGACTAAAAGAGGTCCTATCACCAGTGAAAAGCACCAAGTGATGCGAGTGTGATGGCTTTCGAATCACGAAAGCAAATACTTATTTTACTAATGAATTACGCACTCAAGTCATTATACTCACGTACTCATTAAAATTTGCGTAATTACTGCCACAATTGAGATAGAGGCTTCAAGTCGATTCAAGGTGATTGACAAAAATCACGTTATCTTTGGTCTCCGGGAACCGCTTAAAATCAGATAGGCCGATTTAGGAATGCTATAATATAATCCTATTTTTAATTTTGATTTAATTTATTGATGCAGCACTCTAGAATTGTTTTGCACTAGTTTAAAGGCATAAGGAGTAATATATTGGGGAAAAAGTTTCTTTGCATTTTTTAAGAAAATTCACAACATTTATTAATATAGTTTTCGCACGTTCTTGTCGTACGTGATCCACTTTTCATCACCAGTTATCAGCTTCTTCAAAAATGGTTCGGTTTCATTACGTCATAATAAAGAATCACAAATGAGTACACGGTTCATTAGGTTCCTCTCAGTGAGCTCGTGAGGTACCCAAGTATCGAGCGTTTTTGTGTACCCAGTTTTTTTTCAAATGCGCCAAACTATTTTGTGGTCAATTCCCAGTTCTTCAGCTACGTCGTAACTACTGATTGATATTTTTTTTTTTTTATTGCTTAGATGTGTGGACGAGCTCACAGCCCACCTGATGTTAAGTGGTTACTGGAGCCCATAGACATCTACAACGTAAATGCGCCACACACCTTGAGATATAGTTCTAAGGTCTCAGTATAGTCACAGCGGCTGCCCCACCCTTCAAACCGAAACGTATTACTGCTTCACGGCAGAAATAGGCGGGGCGGTGGTACCTACGCGTGCGGACTCACAAGAGGTCCTACCACCAGTAAATAATAATATGCCGATCTGGCTCCACTTTTTAAAAAATGGCATCCATTTTATCCGTAATAGGGCGACCAGAGCGACGTGCATCTTTGACATCAAAATTTCCGGATTGAAAAAGCTTAAACCAAATTTGTGCTACTCTCACAGTCACTGCACTAGGTCCATAAACATCGCAAATTTTTAACGTGGCTTGCGTTGTGTTATGACACCCTCTGGTTCCTAGCTTTCCTTTCATCATCACCTTTCCCGAATAGCATCAGCAGTTATGATCCTTTATTAGAGAACAATCCCCTCCCTGTCCAGTCAGTCCTATTCCTAATTCCACACGGCACGGTTGCCGTCATTAATCGTCGTGAAATCTTTATATATTCATTTCGTCACTAAAATCTTTTTTAAAAAGATATTTTTTCAATTCCGTATAACAGTTGCATTTTTACATTTTTAAAGAGATTTTATTATAAGTTCATACATAATAATATACGTATAATGCGAAAAAACTTTTTCCCCAACCCATAGAAAACTAAAGTTGTTTTAGGTTAACGGTATTTCTGAACAGTCGACTTAACTAACATATTAAATAATAGTTCACGAAATTAAATGTTAGTTTGTGTTGTATAGAGAGCTCGGAACACCAACCGCCTCGGGCTACCGTCGAAAAACCCTTCCTACTCTCTGATGGCAGGTAAGTTTAATACTATCAAACAACATTGATGACGTTACGTTAAATGTTTATTTTTTTATTGCTTAGATGGGTGGACGAGCTCACAGCCCACCTGGTGTTAAATGGTTACTGGAGATCATAAACATCTACAACGTAAATGCGCCTCTCACCTTGAGATATAAGTTCTAAGATCTCAGTATAGCTACAACGGCTGCCCCACCCTTCAAACCGAAACGCATTACTGCTTCACGGCAGAAATAGGCAGGGTGGTGGTACCCACCCGCGCAGACTCACAAGAGGTCCTACTACCACTAAAGTTCTAATGTGAACTGACAGACCACCGTTTTTAGGATTAGAATTAGATCTCATATCTCAAGGTCAGTGGCTGCATTCGCCTTGCAATTTCCAGAGGCTCCGGTGAAACTCGGTCGGTCGTGAGCTTGTTCAAATGTTTACGAAAACAAGGGAAATAAATACCAATCTATCAAATACCTAATAGTTCAGAACTTCGTTACCTATGCCGATTTGTGTTATTGCAAATTTTATAGCTTTTAAATTGTATTATTTTACATCCCTTTTTTTAAGCTTCTTCAATTATTAAATTTAGTAATATTATCAACTATTTACAATGTCTTTTATTTCTTTGAGGTGACATTTATTACGTACAAAGGCTGCCCCACCCTTCAAACCGAAACGTATTACTGCTTCACGGCTGAAATGGGCTGGGTGGTGGTACCCACCCGCGCGGACTCACAAGAGGTCCTACCACCAGTAAATTTATTCAATGTTAATTTATTCTGTTTATTCAATACTATGGAATTTATTAGATAAATTTTCACACATTTCTAATATTCATCAGGTTTTTTCTTCTTCTGACTGTAGACCTTGTTTGGAAAATTAGAATTGAATATTTACTGGTCAATTCTTCAAACTCTTTTTATGGTTGGGGGCCGAATCTCTTACAAGATCCCCGCACCGTGGGGGCTCGCGGGGTACGCGGGACCGTCTAGATCAGGGGTGGCTAACCGGTAGGTCGCGATCGACCGGTCGATCGTGCCTATTAGTTCAGTCGATCGTGACTAGGAGTGGGTGATATAAATCGTATATAGATTCAATATCTATATATCGCAGCAATATCGTTGAATCCGATATCGCCCCGCACGAAATCTATATATCGATATCAGCCGATACACGATATTGCTCGATGTGATGCGCATCGCCATATCGGACCGATTCGTGAATCGAAATCTATATTTCGATATCAGCCGATACACGATATTGCTCGATGTGATGCGCATCGGCATATCGTACCGATTCGTTAATATCAGCAATATTCGTTTGGTTCGTATCGAATCGGCCAGAGTGAGTGAGCGCACGATAGGGATATCATGTGATGAATGAAACAGAAACAGGCATTATCCATACAATTGTAAACCTTATATTTAAGTCCATATGTCTGTAGATTATTCTTAGCGTATCAGCAGGATACAATTAAGGAAAGAAGTTTCAACTTTCGACCCTAACTTGAATGCAGTATAGCCTATTTGCATCGTTGAATTTAATTTCACGCGCTTTGACCTTGAACTAGAATTTTTGGACAAGTGTTTATAAATACTTAAAAGTTTTTTGTGTTTGATTTTTAAAGTACACATTTTTCTATTTTTAGTTGAATCCAAATAATTGAGTTTATTTCTTGTGTTTGTATTAAACTTTTGAAATCTACACTCTTTTGGTATATTTTGTAATTTTAAATTAAGACACAAAATACTAAAAACTGAAAATAATGTAGCCTGTCCTAAGCCTGGTAAAAGCATGAAGGAAAGTTTTTTTGATATTTTTATTTTCATGTTCTTTTTATTACTTTAAGATCATATTATAAATTGATATCAGAAAACCAACCGTATAACGTTGACTTAAATATATATCTACTACGATATTATATCAGCGTATCGTTTCAAATCTCAAATATCATGAATCGAGAAAATCTACTAGCATCCATCAATATATAGATTCAGAAAATATATAGATTCAATATCCGATATTGATCCTCGATATATAGATACGATTCGATACGCGGCAAAACCGATATTACCCACTCCTAATCGTGACTAGACAAAAAAATATAAATACATTGAACAGACTGCGCAACGTAATCACAAATTGCTGCACGGATCATCTTCATCCTGTATCATTTGTTAATTACCATTACGTCATATTATTTATCCTCTCTTCTACACAATAGTTCTCTTTTATTATATAATTTCAGATTTATTTAATATTTTTAATAAAAGAAAATATGCTAATTATTTAGATACCGAACTACATTATTTTCATTACATTTAAAGAAAGGTCATTGGTGGATCGCAGTGTTTCGTCAGTAGATCTTAGTTCTAATCAAGTTGGCCACCCCTGGTCTAGATGGTAGCGGTCACCCCCTTAACGACTCCCCGGTACTCGCGTCGAAACGTCCGATACCCGCCGGAAACGGAGCCTATATATAACCTATATAAATCATTTCATAACACGTAAAATTTTGAACTCGTTAATTTCGATTTAATTCATGAAGCCGTTGAAAATCTTTACAAGGAAACCATAATTAAATGTAGCTACAGAGAGTACAAAATAAATTCAATTAGAGCCTTTATATTAGTTCCGACGATCGAACGAATAATTAACTAATATAAAATTCAATAAACGAATCATTTCGGAGAGCAAAAACATAAATTAATTGACGTTGACGTTAGCTTATCAAAAAGAAACATTAATTAAGTTAGAGCTTTCTGAAATTCATAGTGATTCCCCTCTGAAAGCAGTTACAAAGTAAAACGGGGTATACCTCTAATTACTATTATAAATAAATAAAAAAACTTCAGAGGTGTCAAGGGACACCCGGATGGAACGAAGTTCCTTTCGATTAATTAGTGAAGGAATTGTAATTATTTTTTTTAAGTTATAATAATAAATTACGGCATTATGAAGAAGAAAAAAACAATACTATGAACTAAATTACTATTGTTGAAACGCTATCTCGAGAAACTGTACTCATTACGCGGACCAATGGGATACGAGCAATGTCACGCGATAAGCGCCTACACGTTGATTGGTCAGAATGACGGATCGAAAAAGTGTCGTGACAACTTTTCGTAAGAATTTTTTCCGTCTAGCCCCCTTTCACAACGCGCGATAAGGAACTTTGTTCCAATAAATAAATAAATAAATAAATAATAAATATTTACTAACAATCACGCCACGTTAACTGGTCCTGTGATAAATTCGTAAAGAACTTGTGTTACAGGTACCAGATAACGGAAATAAATGTAAGATTTTAATTATAGACATACATATATTTAATATATATCCATAGCCCTGGAAAAGACATTTATGTTTATCATACAAATATCTTCCATTGGCGGGATTCGAACCCGCGACCCCCTTGTGTAGTGACCATGTCACTTACCACTACACCAGACGGCCGTTAGATATTATATGATTAATGTTTTAAATAGAATTAGCATCGCATGGAAAGGGGGATCGGTACTTTTCTAATTATATGCGCGATGGCGTGCTAGATTGAAGCAATATTTCCTCTAGTCTTTCACAATCAATTTTATTTCTTGTTTTTACTACGGAACATGTTTATGCTCTCACGTTTTTGAGAACAACCTGACGTTGACATCGTAACTATACACAGATTAATTAAACTATTTGACAGATAGATGACTGAATATCTCTGCGTTAATAATTAATTCGATTAATTTGTTTTGTTTTTATGCGGTGCTTAGTGAAACAATTAAGAAACGTGATTCATGTATATTTTTATAAAAATATGTACAAACTAGAGAATGAATTCGAGATCATTTAGACAATAATAGAGACACAAGATTTTGATTACTTAGGTACCCGAGCCACCCACTTAGAACGAGTACCCGGCACACCCGGTGTTAACTAGCTGCCGCAGTATGTCAATATCGTCACCCACTTTGAGATTTGATATCGAAATCTCAACTGTATTATGACTATCTCAACCTTCGAACCGGAATGCCTTACTGCGTCGCGTCGGAAACAGGAAATATCATATAATATAAATATCATCGTGTGGACTGTCATTACGCCCTGCGAACATGAATAAAAATGTGGTCAGGAGAACATCAAGAAACATTATTTTTCTTTAGTACAAATATCAATCACTACATAGTATAAAACAAAGTCGCTTTCTCTGTCCCTATATCTGTCTGTTCCTATGTATGCTGAAATCTTTAAAACTACGCAACGGATTTTAATGCGGTTTTTGTTAATAGATAGAGCGATTGAAGAGGAAGGTTTATATGTATAGTAAAATCCATTAAATAGTGGAGAAATCAATAATAAATTACAGTTTCCGAAGCGAAGCGAGGGCGGATCGCTAGTTAATCACTAATTTTGACACTTTAAAGGATGCCCCCTCCTAATGTCTTCTCTGATATCGTTCAGAAAATAACAAAGAGCCCTATTCTTTGCTTATCAGTACTGTCGTCACAGATTATTTTCAATATTTATAGCATTGAGGGCTGAATCGACTTCCACATACATTATTGTTCGATTAAAATATTTATAATTTATAAAGATATATAAAAATGAATTGCTGTTCGTTAGTCTCGCTAAAATTCGAGAACGGCTGGACCGATTTGGCTAATTTTGATCTTGAATTATTTGTGGAAGTCCAGAGTAGGTTTAAAAGGTAGATAAATATGAAAATATGGCAATTAATTAAAAATAACAATTTTATTTTTCCTTTAATGTGTCCCCCGTCGGACGGATTCCTTTTGTTTGTGTTAAGTTTATTTTATACAAAAGTTTAGGACTTTTATTTATAGATTGAAGCACTACGAAGTCTGCCGGGTCAACTAGTTATTTATAAAGATTTTCTCTGATTTTTTTTAACAGGGTTGAGTTAGAAGCCTGGCTAGATAAAGCTATGTACTCGCACGGAGAGCCTGTCAAAGTTAGCGTTGCGGTCGCCAATCACTCGTCGAAGACTGTCCGAAGGATCAAGGTGAGGTGAAATTACATTTGTTATTGAAGTGAAACTTCTTTAGGCGTGCTGAGAGTAAAATTTAACTCGCAACGGATTCGTTATGGCTAGAGAGAATATATGCAATTTAGGAAGAACGAGACTGAGAAAATGGAGGCGGCGTCTCGCGAACCACTCGACTGTGGAGAGAGGAAAACGACAAAGCAAGCTAGGTCGTTTCTCTTAGGTATACACAGCATTCCCTATTATAAGAGAAATTTGATTTAAGGATGAAAAATGAAGAAAACCACAATACTACAACACCGCAAAAGAAGTTTCACTTCTTCCACGTGCACATAATTTTGATTTAAAGAATACAATAATTATAATATTCCGGCGACAATATTGAAGTAAGTTTTCTTACGCTTGTGTCGGCTAAGCAAATCATTCCCGACTTACGTTTCAGCAAGGAATAAAAATAATAATAATAATAATAATAACTCTTTATTTATATAAACCTTAATATGTACACAGTAAACTAATAAAACAAAAGTCGGTATATAAATCGGCGGCCTTATCGCTGAAAGCGATCTCTTCCAGGCAACCTTGCAGGAAGAGGAATAACTTAACTGGACGGTGCTATATCTTAATAAACTTACATAAAAATATAAACTTAAATACACATGTGAAAAATAAATACCATATAAGATAAACTTAAATACGATTAAATACAAATAAATACTAAAAATATACTAATATATAATTGTATATCAAACACGCCAGTTTCTCCCCTTTGAAGATTGACAGTGAGTCTTGAACTGTATAGAAGTCATGATTGGATGATGGATTGGCGCGGTGTTTTCATTGTTAAATAGGTCGTGTTTTATATACGTTTAGTACCTACTCAAATTGAGCTCTGTGGTTTTGCGCTAATTGTGAACTTAATTAAAACTATCCACGAATGACAGGGAAGGATTCCTAACTTTTAGGCTGTTCAATAACAATTCTAGGTGGGGTTCGCTAAAACTACTATGTACTACATCTTTTTTTTTTTATTGCTTAGATGGATGGACAAGCTCACAGCCCACCTGGTGTTAAGTGGTTACTGGAGCCCATAGACATCTACACCGTAAATGCGCCACCCACCTCGAGATATAAGTTCTAAGATCTCAGTATAGTTACAACGGCTACCCCACCCTTCGAACCGAAACGCATTACTGCTTCACGGTGGAAATAGGCGGGGTGGTGGTACCTACCCCTGCGGACTCCCAAGAGGTTCTACCACCAGTGAAAACCTTTTTCTTTGTTTTGCTAATGAACCTTTTTCTTATGTTTTGCTAATGACGTCTTGAAAGAAAAAGAATATGCCGTTCTAAGTTTTTTTGATAGCACTTAAAGCCTATTATACATAGATAGACAGTACGAGTTCAGAGCGTGTTTTTAAACTTGTTTGAAATATGCTAAGCATGTGATAATTAATCATAAATCGTTTAAAAAATGTACAAATCAATTTAACCATATATTTACATAATTAGGACACGTGTGTATACAACAGCAACCAAACCGGCACCTATTAATAGCCCGGTACACAAACATTTTACTAATACCAAGCGTATGGAGAGTTTTAAAAATTGCATTTGCAAAAATTTTTTCATCCGAAAAAAGAATTTCCCGATATTTTTTTCCCGCGTACCGCTTCAACAAAGCGCGGCATCTCTTCAGTCTCAGGTCCATTAGACGAGCATTCAAACGATGTCCTGTTTTTCTTCGATATGCCCGAAGCCCTAGTCTTCATTTAACACCCTTTTCACCGTGGTTCTGCTTAACCCCATCTGAAGGGCCAACAGTTTCTGCTTACGTTTGGGATTTCTTTGAATTCGCGCTTTCACAGCTTTTATCACTTCTGGAGTCCTAACAGACCGAGGGCGACCACTTCTTGACCTGTCATCTACACTAGAGTCTTCATTGTATCGTTTGATGGTACGATAAACGAATCTTTTGGTTATATTCAAACTTTTCAGTATGTTAAAAATTTGAATTGGCGCGTAACCGCAACGATGCAACGCAATAACTGCAACACGGTCTTCTTTAAGCGTCCACTCCATATTTAAAAATGAGTAAAATTCTAAAAGTATACATTTTTATTTTCATGAACAATTCGAAATTCGAATTCAATAAACTTTTTTGTGGCCAGCATTCTAAAAGAAAAGTTTTTACTGTGTGACAATACTTATGACCTGACTAGTTATATATAAATATTATTACGAAATACGTGTTTGTTTTAGCTTATAAATCACAGCAACCCATGAAACGAATGTTGCATTATTCAAACGTGAACCCGCAGAAATATTACTTTACGCTTTGCGATCAAACAAGATTTATTTTTAGCTCGAAAGTTTACATGAACGTATATTGCGATATTAACTTCGACACCTGGGACGTAATTTTTTTTTTTCTAATTGAAAATTTATCGTTACCGTTTTTACAATGGTCAAACGTTGTTTATTACTGGTGGTAGGAGCTCTTGTGAGTCCGCACGGGTAGGTACCACCGCCCTGCCTATTTCTGCCGTGAAGCAGTAATGCGTTTCGGCTTGAAGGACGGGACAGGCGTTGTAACTTTACTGAGACCTTAGAACTTATATCTCAAGGTTGGTTGCGTATTTACGTTGTAGATGTCTATGGGCTCCAGTAACCACTTAACACCAGGTTGACTGTGAGTTCGTCCACCCATCTAAGCAATAAAAAAAAAGATTGCGGTCCACCATTTGACATTTCGACCCCTGGTATATGTTTTCGTTTTTTTTTAAATTATTTACATCTATTACGGTATCGTTTGATTTTTAAACTTCAACATTGCTTGATTTTGTATCACTAGATGATATTATTATCGTTACACGCTGGGGTTCGGGATAAATAAATGTTCCACCAAAGTACAACTTAAAACTGTATTTATAACTTAATACCTTCGATCTATATTGATCGAAGCTTAGAACACTCATAGAACACTTTAAAAACACTTTATTCGCTTCTTCCGTTTCGCTTCAGGCGATCCGTTCACTGTTTCGCTTCGAGTAATTCCGATCACTAAGTCACTGCGTGTCATCTCTGCAACACTTTTACGAGTATAGCTGATACCACATCCCTAGAATTATCGAGAATATTCCACACAAGTCGAGTATCGTGTTTCCGGTATCTGACAATAGATGGCGTTACACTTCTCGAGCGCTCTTGATGCTACTAGATCCTTCAATATTCATTCGGCTATTCGGCAATAGATGGCGTCACTCTTACCGGCGTAACATTATTAATAATTTGACTACTACTACGAGTAATAACTCTTCATTTCTTCAAACCTGAAGTCCGCCGTAGCGCAATCACTAGAGCAAAATGAACTGCACAAATACTTTGTTATTAAAAAAATATGTATTAACAAGTAAAATTCTCCCTTGAATACACTAATGAGCCAAAAGCAAGTTAAGATCATGCAAAAATCAATTCAGGGGTATATACTTCCAATATGATGTAAGATAATATTAATATATTATTTTCGTCAAATGATTTCATCCCCAAAATTGAATCTGCGTTAGAAACTTTTACGAACTTTAAGCTTCATTAAAAGCAATTAAGACTTTACTTCAAATCACTTTGTCCACAAAACGCAAATTTAAGATTGTATAATAAATAACGATTATTTATTATCAGAATTCAGAGTGAATTCACAAACACCTAGATTGCGCTAAAACAATTCGTTTATTTTAAAATTTAGGCCCAAATTATAACACATTACCCGAATTACTGTCGACATTATCACCAGCTCTGTACAACAGAATGTTGAAAGTAAATAACTTAATTTTATTAATTAAGCAGTACTTACTACTCTTGCTCTGAAAAATTTAAAATCTAGCCCATAAAATCTTAATTTATAAAATATCTTGTTAGACCAAAGCACTAAGTAAAATAGCGGTTTAAAAGAAAACTTGTTTTAAGTTTTATTTGTTTTGAGGCAGTTTTTGTCACCATTCGGTATCCCATTAGATTTTTACTTGAAATATAACACACTTTTTAAATTCAGTATTTCCATTTTTAGTTTTCTTTTTTCATATCTAATAGAGAAAGTAGAAAATATTTTGTACTATTTAATTAAATGTACTCAATCATTGCACTCAGGATCTTAGAATGAAAACAAAACGAAGATTCATCACGGCATATGGCTACGGTACACTAGTGCCTTTGGCTACTGCATTTTTTTTTATCTAATTCATCTAACCATATCAACACACCACACTACCAATATCCGCTCCCCAACGACGATTTAAAAAAAAATCTAAAAGATTTTTATCCAAATAAGTCGACAGAGACGCTTTTAAATCACCTAGACTATACCAACAATCCGAAATGCAGTTTGACAACATATAAGAAACGACAAGTAACTCAAGGCTTGCATATTCTCATCAATATAACTGGGAACAAATCACGCACGGTCACTCGGAGCCTCCCGATCTACTAACGGTACTTTTAGGTACCCCAAGCACTGGTCATCATTCTCGTCGAACCCGTCGCTTGCAACAAAGGGCTCGGCGAGTAAATTAACCCACAGACGCAGCCCACTCAGTTTCTCGCCGGATCTTCTCAGTGGGTCGCGTTTCCGATCCGGCGGTAGATTCTGCGAAGCACGGTTCTTGCTAGGGTTCGTGTTAGCAACATCGTCAGGTTTGAGCCCCGTGAGCTCACCTACTAGCCCGGTGAAGCTAATATGGTCTCTCTAGACCATCAGTTTAGGTAGAAAAAAAACATCCAGCCCAATTTAGGATTCCTTGTGTTATGGATACCGGAGACTGACATAGATAGTTATTGTGTTTTAAAAAAATAATAATGCTAAAATAAAAAAAGCTACAAATGAGACAAATCCAATGAGACAAGATAGAATATAGTACTGACAATACGTGTAGATGTTACTTGATATACGATGTTACTTGATATATGGGCCTCAATTAGAATATGAACTTGAAATTCTCCCTACCACGTAAATGGGACTGAATCGTTCAGTTGTTATTGTTCGGTGTTTGCTTCGTTTCATCTAGCATGGTTATAAATCATTCATTATTATCGAAGCGTTTGCGTATAATTTAATTTAAATTTATCATTTATTCGTTTAAAATCTATTATTCCCTGTTAGGTTGGATGATTAAATAATATAGACATATCGAATTCAGAATAAAAATGATTGAATGAATGCGATTTGTACGATTGTCTTTTTTACAAATACCTGTATGACTTTGACAAAAATTCTATTTTTAATATAAATACCTAAAGTAGAATTCTTTTGTCCATGCAGTTTGGGTCATAAAACATAGCCCGGCTAGGGCGGTGAGCATGTTGCGCGGGCGCAACGTCATTGTCGATAAAATCAAATGACTCATCGAAGACAGGTAACACGGTAGCGGGGTGGTATACGAAGGGTGGTGAGACATTGTTATGTTGGGAGTCATTTGTACTTATCTGCAAATTATATTATTTATTTATTTATTATAGTACATTATGTCGAAGAGAAATGTGTTTTATGCATATGCATTTTTATCACTAACCCACAAAATGACAAAAATAAATACACTATCGATAACACTTATCGACAACAATAATAGGCATCACTATGCCCGTCCATAAGGCTCGTGAGTGAAAGAGAGAGCGAAATACTCGCTGCACCGCTCCGATTTTTATGACCCAAACTGCACGGACAAAAAAATTCTACTATAGTATTGATATTGTTGCATAATAAAAATAAGGATATAAGAAGACTATGAAATTAATGACGTTTGTGACACAAGCGATAGATATATACGTAGTTAAGAAACGTATTTCTCCCACAATACTAAATGTTATAATTAAAATTATTTTCCAAAGACTCTAGTGGTGCAGCACGTCGACGTGTGCATGTTCTCCAACGGAAAGTTCAAGAACGTCGTCGCTCTGCTGAAAGGGATCGACACCCCCGTGATGCCGGGACAAACGCATACTGACACCTATACTCTAACTCCACACAGAGGTATGTTTCCAAAAAAATTCTAAGATTAGCCAACAGTGCTCGGTGCCTTAGGGTTCTAATAAAATTATTGACCGCTGTAAATTGAACAAGATTTTTAAAAAACCAACTCTGACTTAGTGGATCTTTTTAAATTAGAGCTAGTGAGAGTATTTTTGGCGCTCGAATTGCCTGTGAATTGGCATTGTCTTTTTGTTTAGTTTAGATTCAATATTTTCATTGGCGTCACATTCCACAGGAGTCACAAAAAATTGGATAGCCCTAGAAGACTCTTACTCGAAATCCGGCGCCTGTCTCGCTTCCACGGTCATCTCGAACAATACACCGGAAGACAGAAATGTGTTTGCCATATACGTCTCTTACTACGTGAAAGTCAAACTCACACTAAGCGCTATGGGCGGAGATCTCTCGGTCAAACTGCCCTTTGTTCTCACACATTCCTGCATCAACGAAGCGCCGACCGACAGCGTCATAGAAGAAGCCACACACAAAATGATACTCGAAGGCAAAGAGAACAGCGAAGATGAAGATAGTAAGGCCGAGAACGAGAATGATAAACAGAATAACAACAAAGACGCCCAAGCACAGGAGACAGCGTTCGGGGATGAGGAAGGCGAAGTCAAATCACCTGATGTTCATCGCTGCCTGGCAGACGTCCTAGTCAACATAGAGAACCAACTGGACAGGCCCAAGAAATTCGAAGGGGAAACTGAGGTGCGAACCGTACAACCTGATCAAGAGGAACTCGACCTCATATCAAAATATCCCGGCTCGGACACGTGATCCGACGAGGGACCCCACGAACGAGGTCAGGGAGCCGAAAAGACTGAGCCACACAGGATCCAACCGGAAGTGACAAAATGCAAAGCCGAGGACCAAATGCAGAAGTCTGGCTTCGCGGAGAACCTTAAAAAAGCTGTATGCTGCATCGACAGGAGACGTCAATCGTAGCTCTGTGAATAATTGTAATTTAACAGTTTTAAAGCTTATTTATAATGTAATTGGAATTAACTCAAAATTATTGTCGTTTAGATTTGAGTAGAACCAATCTGTATTCCTATTTGTTTAGACTAGATCAAAACGAAAAATACCTATTCTGAAATACCTAATTCTCTGCGAAACTTAAGAAATTGAAATCCGAACCGACAAAGTTAAATAAATTTATCTGGAATTTAATATTTCGAATTCGAGTTACGACTATCACTGCGTTCCTTGTAATCCTAGTGGTTGTTTCATTGTAAAAATTAACATTTTTATTAGGTAATAAGATTCGAATAAGCCGGTCACAGTCATAAAGCCTGAATGAAGATTACGCTTACTAAAACGTAGCCAGAGTTAGTCACGAATATAAATACGTTTACTTTAATTGTATAATATAATTATTTATTACGTATCTATAATAAAAAATATATTTAACGTTAGAAATGTAACTTAGAATCTAATTTTAAGTTTTATCCGATTATCTTCTAATTATTATTAAAGGAAATAAAACATTTGCGTTCTTTAGTAGTTGTTTTTTTTTTCAGAGAAAACTTTTTATTAACCTTTCTTTTTTTATTGCTTAGATGGGTGGACGAGGTCACAGCCTACCTGATGTTAAGTGGTTGAATCGCGAAACATAGAAATTTAATAACTTTTTACCCTCAACAGACACACGCTGCGGCTTAAAGGGTGGGAGAGCCATTCTACAACTTGAGATTTTCGACCTCATAATATTTCAAGGTAGGTCGGTGATATCCATGCTGTGGTGTGTCACCTATCAGATTAATAAAAAAATTCTGCAAAAATCTTCAAGCCACCGAAATTAAAAGAAATACATTAAGTACTGCGCGATAAGGAATAAATATATTGGATACGTTTGGAAGGAGTTGGAATAAGATCGTATCCGCCAAAGCTCCCCTTAATCCTTATTACGATAAGCTTACTGCGCTATCCGGACAGACATCTGCGCCTTAAAGTTTTGGACACGGTAAATCTTACTTAAAACGTACTTTGAACTTAACTGAAAAGGTTTTGAAGATAAAAATAATCACAGCTTTATCAAAAACCAATAAATCTTTGCTGTCATTCAATAAAAACACAAAATTTATTCTTTTCTTTCTTGAGAATATATGTACTTGTCAAATTTACATAATATAAACGAGTATTTATCGGGAAAATACAAAATTTTCTAATGAAATACGTCCCTAACATAAAAGAATAACATTGCGTAACAAAAACCAATCCCGCATAAATTATAATTGCTTAATTACTGGTAGGTAGCGGCTTGGCTCTGCCCTTAACATTGCTAACACTCACTATGAGGGGACCGTATGCTCGTGTGGCTCCAAGGGTAATTAAAATAAATAATAGTTTAAAAAAACTAACAAAATATGCTTTTATACAAAATCCAACTAAAAAATAGAAAATAAATTTGAATTAAAATTAGTGTAAGAAAAAATGATTTTATTGTAAAAGAGCGTGGGGTGTTTTTCAGGATATTATCAAAATAACCCTTCTACTCATATCTGTTCATAAAATATTTATAACTACTGATACCATGCACCCCACGCTTGTTTTATAATAAAATCATTTTTTCGTACACTATTTTTAAATCAAATTATTTAAAAATTATTTTCTATTTTTAGTTGGATTTCAATTTTATCAATCTTTTTTTTAATATTGTATTGTCATCGGTCCTTAATAAGTATACCAAATTTCGAGTTAATCCAACGTTTTGAAGGGGGTCAAAATCATGCTCAAAGATTCCGTTACAAACATACATACTAACATACATACGTCTGAAGCTAATAGAAGCGTATTAAAGAGGTAACAGTACCCTGTCTATATCTACCGTAAAGTAGTAATGCGTTCTAATGTGAATTGAAGAACCACCGTTCTTAGGATTTTAATTAGATCTCACATCTCAAGGTCAGTGGCTGCATTCGCCTCGCGATGTCCAGAAGCTCCAGTGAAACCCGGTGGGTCGTCAGCTCGTTGTAATGTTTACGAAAAGAAGAGAAATAAATACCTATCTATCAAATACTTCGTTACCTATGCCGACTTGTGCTAATGTAAATTTTATAACTTTTCAATTGTATTATTTTATTTATTCTCTTCAATTATTAATTTAGTAATGTTATCGACTATTTACCAATGTCTTTTGTTTCTTTGGGGTGACATTTACAACGTACTGTAGTTTTTTATTTTTTATTGCATAGAGGGGTGAACGAGCTCTCAGCCCTCCTGGTGTTAAGTGGTTACCGGAGCCCGTAGACATCCACAACGTAAATTCCGCCACCCACCTTGAGATATGAGTTCTAAGCTCTCAGTATAGTTACAACGGCTGCCCCACTCTTCAAACCGAAACGCTTCTCAGCAGAAATAGGCGGGGTGGTGATACCAACCCGCGCGGCCTCACAAGAGGTCCACCAGTAATTACGCATATTATAATTTGGCGGGTTTGATTTTTATTACACGATGTTATTCCTTCACCGTGAAAGTCAATCGTGAACATTAGTTAAGTACGTATTTCATTAGAAAAGTTGGTACCCGCCTGCGTGATTCGAACATCGGTGCATCGCTCAACACGAATGCACCGGACGTCTTATCCTTTTAGGCCACGACGACTTAGTATACACACATAGTATCTATGTATGCGGATGCTTCAAATTGATTGCTCTGTTTGTATAGATAATGAAATGCCCAAATAACCCATAGCTGTGGTGGGTTTGTTCATTTGCATTTTGTTTTTCCGTGTTCAAGCCTCGCTTATCTCAATGAGTTGTATTAATACAGATATTTTTACGGCCTCGGAAAATGTTTTTGGCGTAGTACCATCATAGAGATAGCGCACGATTCTGTTCAATTATTGTAATATTAACCGTTATAACCCGACACGAGAACCCGTGACACGCGGTCGTCTGGCCGCTAACTAGAATTCCTTCTACTACGGGAACCAGAGACGAATATATTAAAGTATTTAAGTATATTTCGTTAATGTAATAATATTAATACTGTTACATTTTAATTGTAATGTAATAGGGGTTAAAGTATGAAATTGCCGTTCTATTGTAATAGGTAATTCGAATTGACAGAGAAACTTCATGGTTTGAGATATTTCTGTGAATTTTTTTCAAATGGTACCTACCTATTAGTTTCTACTTTTAAAAAATGTGCAACATTCGATTATCGACTTTCAATTGTTTTTTTTTTATTCACCTTAGACTAGAAAGATGGATTCTTCGAAAATTCGAGTGATATTTGAATACGAGATACGAGATCCGACCCGGAACTAACGCTGCGGAAACAGCTCGCAATATCAATGTTGCGTTTGGAGAGGGGGCTGCTAATGAACGCACCGTGCGATTTTGGTTTAAACGCTTTCGTGATAGAAATTTTGATTTGAAGAACGAACCACGTGGAAGATCACCCATACATGTGAATAACAATGAATTTAAAGAGGCGGTGGAAGCCGATCCGAGCCAAACTACCCAGGAATTAGCGGCATGGTTTAACATTACCTTACCAACAATATTGACACATTTTCGTCAAATCAATAAAAGAAAAAAGAAAAAAAATTGGGTGCCTCATGATTTGACTGATCTGCAGAAAGAAACGCGTGGTGAAACTTGTGTTGCCTTGTTGAATCGATACTGAAACTTGCAGTGAAATAGCCCCGACTCATGAATCGATCTTCACCATTATCTATCCATGATAACGCGAGACCTCATGCAGCACGATAAACCGTTTTAACTCTACAGGAACTGCAATTAGAAACCATTCGTCACCCTCCGTATTCGTCAGACCTTACTCCAACGGAATACCATTTTTTCGGTAATTTGGACAATTTTCTACGTGATAAAAAGTTTTCTTCCCAGGAGGCAGTACAAAATGCTTTCGCACAGTCTGTAGAATCTAAATCACCAGAGTTCTATCGCAGAGGCACAAATGATCTTCCTATTAGATAGCAGCAATGTATAGAAAATAATGGTAGATATTTTGATTAAATAAATATGTTAAATGAAAAAAAATAACGAATTTCAATTTTTCAGTAGAAATCGGCAATTTCATACTTTAACCTTTAATAATTAAAAAAAAAATCAAGGATAGACCAGCAAAGCGGGCCCGATTACACTAATAAACTAGAATGAAAATTCTTTAAGTTTATAACAAAGAAACAATCGACAAAGCTACTTAGAGAGAAATCGTTTCTTTGTTGGTTTTGTTGCTGAAAATTTACCCGAAACCACGTACCTAGATTCTTTTGCCTATTTACTTGCCAGTAGCCTCAAGGAACTATTCGAGCTTGACCGTGACGAGCTCACATAACTCAACCTAAGAGGTTTTACTAATATCCGACCTAGCTAGAGCAGCGCTTAGCTAAATCTAGCATCGGATCAAAATCGTGAGAAGATCCGGCGAGAACTCAATAGGTTGTGTCTGTGGGTACATACATTATTTTTTAATTAAATTCAATAATTAATCATAAATATGAAAACAGATGATTTTTTGAAAAGATTTAAAATAATAACGAAACAATTGATAAAAATGTCGCTCAAATATATTTCACTAGTATCTAATGAAACAAATCGTAAGATACGTATCCACAAAATTTATGTATAATAAGAAAGATACGTATTGTGTTTACTTAAACAAAACAAAAGAAAGTCTGGTTTTGTCGTCTCGTTAGAACATTTCTGCAGATTCGTAAGTAAACAATCGGCAAAGTTATATCGAACTGCTCGGTCTGAAAACATGTTTACAATATCTCTTATATTTTGCTTAAATTTTATTTATTCGAACCCACTATGTCTTTATTGGATAACTTTAATTCGAATTACGTTATTTTTACTTCGTAGTGATCACCCGATCTAGTTCAAAGGAAGGCCTATATTTCTAAGACATATTTTGCATTCATTACATTGACATCGCATCTCAAGCTGGACAAGTCCCGTACGATATGAAGCTTTACTTTCTAGCTAAGTGCTGGTACTGGTGGTAGGACCTCTTGTGTTGTGAGTCCACATGGGTAGGTACCACTACCCTGCCTATTTCTGCCGTGAAGCAGTAATGCGTTTCGGTTTGAAGGGTGGGGCAGCCGTTGTAACTATACTGAGACCTTAAAACTTATATCTCAAAGTGATTGGTGCATTTACGTTGCATATATCTAAGGGCTCCAGCAACCACATCAGGTGGGCTGATTTCACCCATCTAAGCAATAAAAAAAAACCTTTGAGGAGCTATTTCGTGCGCCTTGGTGGGTGAGCTCACAGGACTCAATCTGAGAGAAGTCGCTAACTGGAAGGAAGGAAGAGCAGCGCTTAACTGAATCTACCACTGGAACGGAATCGCAAGTAGCTGCGAAGATGCGGCAAGACTCTTTTTTGCCCACAACGATGCTATGAAGCAAATTATCTGCTTCTAATAAACCCATTGCTGTTCAGCTTTTTTTTTTCCTACCTAAGCTGAGAGCCTTGAGAGGCTATTTCAGCGTAACCTCAACTAGTAGGTG